CTGAGCAGGGAGCCCGATGTGGGGCTTGATCCCGGGACGCTGGGATCATGACCTGAGCCGAAGGCAGATGCTTAACGACTAAGCCACCCAGGCGCCCCAAAGTGAACTCTGTTCTAAACCTAGGATGCTTTAGCTGATCCTACAATATTTAGGCTGCTGGCCACCAAAATGCTAGTTCAGTCCTTTCCTTCAGGACTTGCATCTTTGAGTCTCCTTTGTTTAAATGGTATAAAATAGAAAGTAGTAAATAGTCTTAGAAAGGCAAGAAAACTGTGCTAATTCAGTTCCTGGGTCCAAACTGGGCTTCTACTCCTTCAGAATTCTGCTTCTGGCTTAATCTGTTCCATCAAATATTCCATCAAGTAGTTATTTTATTTAGACTTCATAGCTACCCTGTGTAAGGCTGAAATTACTTTCCCTGTTGTGTAGAGTTGGAGATCAAGGCCCAGAGGAATTCTGTTGGTGACCTGGAGTCATACATATAGTGAATGGTATAACCATGAACATTGAAAGAATGAATATTGAAGTTTGTAATGGAAAGTTACATAATTGTTCTTAGTTTATGGGTCTTTGAGGGTCACGGTATAGTTGAAAGAATTGTAAAATATATAATGACTCCTTTTCCTAGTCTCCCCTAAAAAGAGAACATGCCTTCCAAGTTTTCTGGGGTTTGAAAAAGCCTCTTACCAGATCCTGACTTAGCTTTAGCAGCTTCTTCAGGTACAAGGTAGAACAGTGGCCTGAGATTGGATTTAGAGGCAGAACATTTGGGTTGAAGGCCTGTGTTGGCCATTTAGATGACTTGTGACATGACAAGTCAGTTACTTCCTTGACCTTCAATTGCAATCAAGTATTAAAAAGATATAATAATACCAGGGGCGCCTGGGTGGCTTAGTTGGTCAGCATCTGACTCTTGATCTCTGCTCAGGTCATGATCTGAGGATTATGAGATCAAGCCTTGTCGGGCTCTGTGCTCAGCAAGGAGTCTGCTTGAGATCCTCTCCCTCTGCCTCTCCGCCTGCTCTCACTTTCCCCTTCTCTCAAATATATAAATAAATCTTTAAGAAAAATAAATAGGTATTCAAATGAGATAATATATGTGAAAATACTAGTTAGTGAAGATACTATTTTAGAAGGTGTTTGGGAAAGCGTATAAACTGTGATGCTTTATTATGGTGGAAGCTCATCTTATTACAGTTTGTCTTTTAGGACAGTGCATGAATCCTTGGAGATGAACAGCATATCCCCATTTTACCTTCACCACTGCTGCTACTTGGTCAGCTGTTAGTGGGTGTGAACACTGGCCGATGTGAGCATGCCAACCCCTCCACTCTTTGCATTTCACTTCCTAAGCAAAGGAGTACTTCCGTTACTGTGTAGCTTCTATACCAGACCACAAAACCATTATTGTCAGATCTCATTCTAAACAAGAACCATTTAAATTGAATACTAAATTTTCACTCATGGAGCATATCCATTAACTCTTAAAGCCACTAATTGATGATGGTATGCTTACATTGGCAGTTCCTACGTAGACT